AACACCGGTACTACCGCATCGCTCGATACCGGGCGTCTGATCGGTTAGGCCACGGCGATTTCAAAATGTATTCTAAGACTGTATTAAAATTAACAAAAATTGCCATCGGCGACATGTATGTTGATATTATGATCTGTTTGGTTAAAAACAGATCCGCATTATTAAGCGTTGGCCACGAATGTGATCAGCATTGTCGTAACGTGAAATACGGCTTTATGATCAACAAAACAACTTCCATCTAATACACAGTGCAGTGCACTCGAAGCTTTAAGTGACTATAGTGCAATTACACGCGAGCTACATAATACATATGATGGAAAATGGAAAGTTGAAAAACCATTCGAGTTTTATATCTATATTACATACTTTTAAAGCGAAACTTAAGCGTGTACGTGGTAAAAGGTGTGGTATTTTTCCACATTCGGTAGGCCGTGGCTTGGCCCTGCTCCCGGCATTGCTGAAGTCCATGGGCGACGGTAACCAATCACCATCAGGTGGACCGTAGACCGGCCGGACCAGTGACTTATACGGCAGTCAAAGGGTTAAGCTAGGAGAACATGTCAAGGCTATGGGTGGAGGATTTTTTTTATCGTCTTTGTAGGCAGATGAGCATACGGCCCACCTGATGGTAAGTGGTCACCGTCGCTCATGGACGTCAGCAATTTCAGGGGAAGAGCCAAGCCGTTGCCTACCATTAAGTACTCTCCGCAAGCCTCGCTTGAAGAAGGACATCTTATAGCGCTCGGAAAACACGAGAGATGCCATGAGATTTTTATGTACCTCCGTAGATCTAGAGCTTTCGTGAATTAAAGTTAAGTTTATTCCTGTTCAACTTAATTAGAGTCCTCCTCAGCTTGTGTGACGACAAAATTCAATTAAGAAACAGTTTAATTTCGTAACAAAAAGACATAATCGAATTGATACTAATTTAATAACATAATTTTGTTATTGTTACCAAATTGAACATAAATTTTAACATCGATTTTCATTTTAATGTTCTCATGTGCGTGGGCATGACGGAGGCGTCCAAAGAAAAGGTGTTTGATAAAATTGTTTCAAAATGATATTAGGTAATTATGAAGGTCACTTGTTATTTAGTTGTTATGTAATATCAGAGCATTAGAACATTAACCCAAATGTACTTATGTATTTTAGCTGGTAACGTGTCAATGAACACGAGGCCTTTTTTTTAGATTTAGTTTTATTTATCATTTATGAAACTGACAGTACAATTATTATTATCTTATGTATTATACATACATATAGTTTATTAAAAAAAGTAAAAAAAAAACAAACAAAATTCCACCATTAATACAACGCGTGAGTGGATAGTAAATAAAAATAAATAAAATTCTTAAAAATATAATTAAAAACCGGTAAATTTACAAATATAATCTAATAATAACTACACACGACTACAGTTACTCTTTATTTTTGCAAATAATCCGCCGATGACTGCTTAGACAGGAGATGCGAATTCTGATCAGATAACAAGGTGGCGTAGTTGTTAATTAGATATCGATCTCAAATAACTATGCACCCGTCGTGGAATATGTGTGTAATGAGAATATGTGCTTTACATAGTTAATGCAATTGGCAAGGTGCATTGTGATTTGACGCGGTAGGTACCATGATTTTGCACGTTTCTACCGCAGAGCATAGATATCTTTGGACGGTAGGGCAGCCCATTATTCCGACAGGTATTCCCTACACGGGAAGGTCAGTGCACCTGTTTACTCATCTATGCAAAAAACAATAAACACAATATTAAATGTGAGATCAAACTTAAAACCGTTTTTCTCTTATCTTTGTTTTTGTTGCTCAGATGCGTAGACGAGTTCACAGCCCACCTGGTGTTAAATGGTTACCGCAGCCCATAGACGTCTACAACGTAAACGCGCCACCCACCTGAGATATGAGTTCTAAGATCTCAGTATAGTTACAACGCTGCCCCAGCCTTCAAACCGAAACGCATTACTGCTTCACGGCAGAAATAGGCGGGGTGGTGGTACCTACGTATGCGGACTCACAAGAGGTCCTACCACCTGTAAAAAATATTTACATTGATCACGTCTAATAACTATCAGTAATGGTGGCCCAAAACGCCGTAACGGTTATTCAATAACCAGCGAAACTGGATAATATGGAAGTTAAGAAACCAACGAATTTCTCGTGTAACGTACCTACGAGTTACGATAATTATAAACAATTTTGTAACGTTTTACACTGATATTGCTATAAGTTTATTTGTAACTTTCTATATTTGTGTTTTTAATTTCCATGTTTACATGGTAGCCTTAATTAGTGCTGAGCCCGCGACTTCACACGCGCAAGTCGAATTTTATTAACATTTAGTAGGTAATTTAAGAATCGGAGTAGAGTTCATCCATATTACCCGGAGCCACTGCGGTCATCCACGGTGCGTTTCCAGAGGTCATTTTTGCCACGTACCATCTGGCTATGGAATGAGTTCCCCTCAACGGTGTTTCCCGAGCGCTATGACATGTCCTTCTTCAAAAGAGGCTTGTGGAGAGTACTAAGCGGTAGGCAGCGGCTTGGCTCTACCCTTGGCATTGCTGAAGTGAATGGGCGACGGTAACCACTCACCATCAGGTGGGCCGTATGCTCGCCTGCCTACAAGGGCAATAAAAAAAAACGGCGCTGTAAACCCGAGTTCCTAATTACGTCGTCAAAATGATATCCGTGTTCCCTCTTCATCCATTGCGGAGTTTAATCGCTAATACACAATTGGGGCCAATAAAATCAAGTTAGCTAAGCCTTAAAATATAGTAAAATGGATTAACTATGGCGCCATCTTGTTTAGTTAGGTTGACACGCTTTAGTATTTTCATGTTATAACAAATGCAGCTAAATCTCTAACAAATTCAGTACAAAAAATTTATTTCTACTCTGTCCTCATATATAAACGAAATTTTATCATTTAAAATTCAAATTATTAGTAATATTCTCATTCTTTATAAATCTGCTTTAAAATAAAGAATATCGTAGCTATCCGAACAAAGTTATTTCAGTTTCTCAAACCGAAAGTGTTGTTACACTGGCCCTAGCAAGAGCAATACTTCGATGGACCAGGAGGATCCGTAATGACGTGTTTAGGGCCGACTTTTGTAGTTTACCTGAATATTTGACAGAATTCGATTTAGCTGCCTTTAATTTTATAGGCCTCAATTAAACGTTTTACGATTAAAATTTACAATCACGATTTTAAATGATCCGCTGTCGGGACGTACTTACACTAAGACTGAAAAGCCGCGATATTTCATAACAGGCAATGTACAACTCTACAAGGTCATTAACCTTCAGTGACACAAAGCAGTATTTCAACTGTGGGTATATCAAACAACAGTTTTACGTAATATGAACTTTTTAAAGCGACTAGGACTAAATGAAATATTTTGACGCAGTATTCATGGTTTATCTATTTCATATTTATCCTGAGATAAGTCGTCGTGGCCTGAAGGATTTCTTTTTCTTTTTTTATTGCTTATATAGGTGGACGAGCTCACAGCCCACCTGGTATTAAGTGGTTACTGGAGCCCATAGACATCTACAACGTAAATGCGCCACCCACCTTGAGGTATAAGTTCTAAGGTCTCAAGTATAGTTACAACGGCTGCCCCACCCTTCAAACCGAAACGCATTACTGCTTCACGGCAGATACCTATATCGATGTCAATGTCAGCCTGCTTTCATAAAGGATTTTACTTACTGCATCTAAAAACATCTACTGTGAAGGAATAATGTCGTGTGACACACTAATCAAATCGACAAAAGCATTAAAATTGCATAAATATTCGCAGTGTATTGTGCACTAGCACTAGTCAATATCCTTATTTTGTCTATTTGGAGGGCGAGATGGGTCGTTATACTACACTATAGAGACACAGTTTACCTCCTATTTCATGGTCTTTATCACATAATTACACCTATCTCAGCTTTAGAACATTGTAAAGCACGAATTAAATCACACAATTATTATGCACGACAACATGTGTTTATATTGTGAAAGAAATTACATTGAACAACACAGATTATTGAAAAACAATTGCGGGTCCCTAATGGACGCGAATGGTTCGCAGAAGCAATAACTTGCGCCGCCGTAATCGCATTGAAACCTGTTAAATCGAGTGCTATAAAAAAACGTTAAATTATTACCCATAAACAAAACCACCATAAAGAGGGTTGTCCAAAAGTGGATAATTTTAAAAACGCTGTGATTATGACATGCCAATGAATACGAGTCGAACACAAAACGATTTTGACCCAACAAGTTAATGTTCATACACAATTTACGAATTGGGTTTTTTTGTTTTGTTTTATGTTGCCAACTTTTGGAATAACCAATATTCGGTTCTTTGAATATAGGGAAAATTGAGAAAATTACTAATAAATATATCGTTTTATTTTAAATGAATAAATATCTATAAATCCTTTTATTCTATAACCTATCCTAACTGAGACAAAATTAATGCTTTTAGTCAATTCTAGTACACAATAATTACGAATCTCGACAAATTCATGAGTTAAAAACCTATCATGTTCGCATTTGTCATTAACGAAGAAAAGTAGTAATGAATCTCCCTGTTTCTTGTTCCTAGCCTAATAAGTAAGACGACCGGTATAATAATTCGACTATACGGTAGTTAAATCGGGTGAAAACACTACACTTTTCTTAACGAAGAAATAATTCTTCATAACTAGAAAATATTTTGCGTAAGCCACAAAGTTACTATTCTAATGAAATTTAGATATCATGTCTCGGTTTGGCCAATTAGTATGTTAGATATGTGATATTGTTTTCCTACAACAACAAAAATATCTTTGGAAATCGAAAAACCTAAAAAAAAATTGCCTCGTCATCATTCGAATGCACATTAGAGGATTGACGTCCATCGCATCCCTACTATAAGGATGTTGTTTTGAGCGTGCTTTTCCGCGCGCCCATCCTAGCGATCGTAGTAGGGGCAGAGTAATAAATACAAGACGCGCGATGGTCACCGTCAGTGCAGATAGTCACCACCGCTTCAAAATGAGGGTGCTCACTGCTACGGTGGGTTCAGTGATGTGATGTGATAGTGGTACTTTAAATGTCGCGTTAAAAAAATAGTGTCGAAATTAGCGGTTTTTTTTAACCAAATATCGAACCCTAAAAGCGCAGTGCTAAAATATAAATAAACCGTACTAAAATTAAAATAAATAAAAAACGTATAAATCTCTGATTGTCCGTATGTCATCGCGTAATTTTCAAATTTAAACACTAATCCGTTAATTAATAATAAAAAATATATATTTTATAAATGAACTGAAATTTATTGGACACTGAACATAAATTGTAATTTTGTTAAAAGATTTTATCTAAGTTAAAATTCCGAGATCCATAAATGCATCCATATAAATACGTTATACCAACGAATACTTTCGCGAAGTGACCACAACTAATAAATACGTAAAGCTTCGACTCAATCAAAAAAGCGCCAACGCGCATTACTCGAACAAACAAATACAATTCACAGACATAATATAAACCTGTCATAAAGTTCAAGAAAAACAAACATCTAATTTTCGTCTAAATTTTAATAAAAATAGATTAATTTCATTCTATCACTTAAATAAACGTTCCATCCAGATTGGCCGCGAGTGAAAAAAGCGTGTTAGTTAAACTATTTGTTTTTGAATAAATGCAAAAGTTCTGTTAAAATAACTTCGAATTTTAATTACGCGACATAAAAAAATCCAAATGGTATTTAAATAAATAAAAAAATCTTAAAGACGAAACTAAAAAAAAAAAAAAATTGATTAACTTCGTGACCACAAAAAATGCAAAATATTCGAATCATCCGAAATTATTAACTAGTTCTAATAATAACCAGATTGAACCATAACGGTTATTGCACTTTTGCGATATGCGAAAACTTCAAACACAGATATGCTATTCATAAATTAATGCGCTATCAAAATTGACGTTCAAATTTAGCAAACTTTAAGTTTCGTAAATTCACTGGTATTTTCTTGTTTATTGTTAACTTTCTATTTATGTTGTGCGTGATTGAGATTGGAAGGCTCTCGCGGAGCACTGGCATCACACGTGCTTCTCGTACGAGAGATCTTATTTTCGATACTGACTGTGTACTATGCTTACAGAATTTATAACGTTGTTTTTTTTTGTCTGTCTGGAAATGATAGAACATGCATAGAACTTTTATTTATTGGTAGCAGACTAGTGATGTTTCGTTTTATATCAAACGGCTTCTGTAACTATAGAGATAATGACGGAATATAATTTTCGGCAATAATAGTGATATCGGACATGCTTAGTTGTTACGTAAATTGACTAATAAGTCGTGTCAACTGGGTGTAAGCTATGTCGTACTCTCTGTGCAAACATTAAGATCCTTAATCAGCAAACAAAAAAAAGTATTCATTTTAAAATTTAAAAAAATATATAAAAAATATAAATCTAGTAGTATAACCACTAATATGTCTTTAAATTTAAAATTTTGAAGTAAATTTTTATTGTTAAAATATTATATGCATTCAAAACCTATAATTAAACAAAGAATCAAATTCGTTTATTTCGCTCAACAATATTTTGTTCCGCAGTTAAATGACGGCTGCTAGCATTAAATAATTTATCAAAGTCAATGGTCGTTTTCGAGCTTCAAAGCTAACAATACAGCTTTCGCTGCAATAAGTACTATGGCGTAATCGGAATGACTTTTTGACAAACGTCTATAAAAATAATAAAATTAAAAGACTAGGCTATTCTTTGAAAATCATTTCGCGGCTATCACTCGGCACGTTTGGCTTAATAATGAAATATCATCGAAGAATACTCATTGAAATTCAAAACACGTTTTTATTTTGTGTCACTTATCACTTTGTAGTTACAACGTAACGTAATGACGAATTAATTAACTATGTAACTATCGTAATTGTTACGTGCACTGTACGCGAACGAGTATTTCCGAATCATTATATTAAGAAAGTTTAACTAGGTATGCTACAACGTCTGACTTTTAGAGTAATTGCCATGTCTCTTTTGACAGATTTGGGTGGTGTTGGCCATCGCAGCGTCGGTAGCCGTACCGATCCAGGACGTGTCAAGCGACACCGAGTTAACGAGGGAAAAACGCTCTCCTGGAGGATGGCACTCGCCACCGCCGGAAGGTGTTTGGAAGAAGAAACTCGTGTGGAAGGAAGAGTGGAAGCAGATCTGGAAAACCGAAAAAAAACTCGCCTGGAAATCTGAGTGGAAGAAAGAAAAAGTACCCGCCTGGAAAACTGAACAGGTACAACAGTGGAAAGAAGAACAGGTGCCAGCCTGGAAGGTAGTACAGAAACCTATTTGGAAAGAAGTGCAAGTGCCGGTGTGGAAAGAAGTTCAAGTGCCTGATTGGAAGAAAGTCTGGAAACCGGTATGGAAAGAAATACAAGTTCCGGTAACGAAAGACATTCAGGTGCCAGAATGGAAACAGAACTTTATACCTGCTTGGGTCAAAGAGGGTGTGCCCGGTGAGAAATATCTAGGCAAAGATGATCACGGCTGGGAATATACCAGTCACGATCTATGGAGAAAAAAAATGATCTGGAAACCGGTATGGAAGAAAGTTTGGAAGACCGTGCAGAAGCAAGAGTGGGTCACCGAGAAGAAATTGGAATGGAAAGAAGAATGGAAACAAATCTGGAAAACTGAAAAGAAACAGGCTTGGGTAACCGAGAAAAAACAGGAATGGGTAGACGAGAAGGTGCAAATTTGGAAAACCGTTAAGAAAGAAGTCTGGGTGCCGGTACAGAAGAAAATATGGGTTGAGAAATGGAAGCAAATTCAAGTACCGATCTGGAAGACCATAGAAGTGCCCGCATGGAAAAAGGTATGGAAGCCGGTTTGGGAGAAGGTTTGGGTACCGATTCATCATGAGCACCACGAACATCACGGATGGGATTGAGTTCGCAGGATCCACATTGCTTGTATATATAGTTAATACATCATAGTCATATGTTTAATACAGGATATTCTGGAGAGTGGTTATTTAGGTAAGTTTAGATGGATTTTCTTTTGGGCGTACGCGAAGGTGAATATTTTTCTGGCTATTAGCGAGTGTACATAATTTTCTATTGCTGTAGCGAAATATGTTTGGCTTTTCGTACGCCTTAGAAGTGATCTATCAAACCGTTTTAGTTCTTTCCGGCTCAATTTTTTCATCCTCAAATCATTATCGATAACTGTTATAGTTAACGTGTATGATTTGATGATTTGACCAGTAGTGTGTTCAAAATTCTTTGGAGAAAAATATAGTTTTCTGGGTAACATTTTTGTTTTAGAAAATGTCACTGAAATTGACAATCAACAGGTTTTTTTTTGGAGTCAGACAGAGGCTATTCTGGTTTTCGTTATAGTCACAAAGCAGAGTCATAAGGTCTAATGTGCGATTTTGTTGCAAGAAAAAAATAACTTTATTTATTTAAATAAAGTCTAATTTTACCAACTAATCTTCATTCGATCTTGTGGCTAGGACAAATATTAATAAGATTTTTTTGTTTCGTTGTGTTGTTATCTATTTAAGATTATTTACTGACAAAATGTTCGATACAAGCATTCGTTATTCTCAGAAACAATTTTTTTTTAAAAAGAAACGTTAAAATCATATACTCACTTCTACCAAACTTCTACAAAAAATTTTTTTTGACACAATTTCATTTCTTATTCCAAAAAATATATAGTTCTTATTAAATAGGCCCTGTAATGTTAACGTTTTCAAAACATAATTATTAAAATATACTCGTCCTGTGAAAACTTAATTGACAGAGTCATCGTAGTGAGCTTAATTCGTCACCTCCAAACTTCATCGTGCTTTTGGAGGTTTAGGGCAAAATATGTTCTCCTTCAAGCATCTTTAGGGTACGCAAAGAAAGCTTGCTTCAAATCTAAAGTCTGCAGGTTGACCAATTTAAGCGCTGCCTTATTCATTCGTCAAATAGCAGTTTCAAAGCTCGCAACATCTTAAAATTCAAAACATTTGTCAGTAGAAAATCAAACAATAGAAGAATCGAGTTACCAAAAAAAGAGTCAAAAGTAACATTCTTGTTTCACTGTTGTGGTTGTTAATTTATGATGAGGCTCAAGTCGTGTTCGACGCGACCAAAGTGCCGGGTTCGATGCCCAGGCGGTGCAAGAGTACAACTATTATAGATTTTTTGTTATTATATTTTTTTTTATTTTTAGTTATTAGCAATATACGAAGTTAATACTATAAGGAGTTTTATTTCGTTTCCTTGATTTACGCAAAAAGTCTCTTCAGAACGATTCATACGAGGTCTTATTTACTAATTACTCATTTTAATTTAATAATTAATTCATTTATATTTTTATAGCACTAGCAGATTTTTTTTTGCATACACTCTTGGCTTTTATTAAGAAGAGGGGTAGATCAGCTTACAGCATGTTTGGTGTTAAGCGGTTACTGAAGCCGATACATGTTACAACGTAAAACGCCACTCACCTCTAGACATTAACTCTAAGTTTGAATTGTATTGTATGGTATGAATTATTGACAGCCCACTTCATTACGGATCCTCTCGATCCATTAACGGTGCTTAAAGGTACCTCTAGCACTGGTCACCGTCCACGCCGAAGTCGTCGCTAGCGACGAAGGGCTCGGCGAGTAAATTAATCTATAGACACAGCCCACTGAGATTCTCGCTGGATTCGCGTCGCGTTTCAGATCCTGTGGTAGATTCTGCGAGGCACTGCTCTTGCTAGGGCCAGTGTTAGCAACACCTACGGTTTGAGCCCCGAGAGCTCACCTACACGCTAGGGCAATTCTGTTATAGCCTATCAAGGCTATCAGCATAGGTAGGAAAAAAACTGACAGCATCCATACCAACCCGTGCAGGCTTATAGGCTTGACTATCAGTAATTACGGAAATAATAAATTTTTGCGGGTTTGATTTTTATTACACGACGTTAAATCTTAATCTTGTAGTTTCATATAAGATTTATATTCCAGAATAGCGATAGGTAAGAATATAAATATAAAAATAGTTTTTAAATCTCTTGTTTAGCAACGCTCAATGAATACTCTTCTAGTTCCGAAGTCAAGATCTTCCAGCCATATAACCCTGATATAAGAATTGAACTATAATTTAACAATAAATGGAGAAATTAAAACTAATAAGCAAGTTTTTCTCGGCTACTTGACATGTAGACAACACGGGAAGTGAAAGTTGGACTGAAAGTTCGTAGGTCAGTCTGGTGCATCTAAGCTCGATTGTGTAACATAATTGCGGAAACACTGTACACTCGTATATGTAAGCACGTTTTAGTGAACTCTGAATGCAGAGTTACAAATTGTGTTGACAACGAACTGTTACGTTTTTAATTTGTGAACAGTACCGCATAAAGCCGAACGAGTTTCAACCTTAAGACATTGCGATAAGATTGAAGCTTCGATTAGAAAACAATACGTTAGTGACGTTTTAACAGAAAAAAGAAACTCAGTCAGCTTAATTGGTACTGTAGTCTAACCGTTGTTACCGGAAAGACATAGTGTCAACACTAATTTCACCTCCCTACTTAAGATGTAAGGCCAAAATTGCAGTAACGGCTATCTATCTACAGGAAGCTAGCTCTGGTTGCCTCAAACCAGAACTAGGCCTGCCTGTCCTAACAGTGGTGCTAGATTTTTGCGGGCATACAGTACCTACCAATCGTACTCATCGCAAAAAAACATGGCTAAAATTTACAGGAAGACTCAAGGAACATTCATAGTAAGACAAAGATATCAGTACTATGGTCGAATCCTATATTCATGTACACAATTGTTAATTAGTAATAATCATAAAATGTGCAATATATGAATCTATTACATAGATATATTTTTGCTGATCTCATTATAGCTTTGTATTCAAACTGAAAATTGGTGAGGAACAAAAGTACTGGAGTGGTGACCACATACCGGAAGTCGTAGCGTAGGCAGGTAGCCAACGAGGTGGATCGAAGACCTGGTAAAAGTGGTTGGTAGGGGTTGGATGCGAAAGGCAAGAGACCAAAAAGAATTGGGTGCATTCGAAGAGACCTACACTCAGCATGGGGTGGACACGGGTTGAAGAAGAGAGAAGAAAGGTCAAACCATCAGTTTGGAGGGCTGATAGATAACACTTGGATACCGAATGGCGGTTGTAACGTCGTCGACTTATCTACGCAGCAGTAAAGACATGTGAATGACCCTGTCTATTTCTGCAAAGACGTTATTCCTTTCGACTTAAAGATTATCCACAAACGCAATACTTTAACGTCTTGTAGAGACGCAATGGTTTTGGACGCAATAGTTTTGGTAAGCCCTTGTCTGCATTCTCGAACTTACAGCCATTTGATGAAGAGGTATTTAAACAATCATTATGTAACCAAAATACTTAACATACTCCATAATAGCTTGGATGGGTACGATTCAATTATCGTTAACAATCGTTTGGGCGGTGCCAAATTGACTGGGTGCGACTGACATGTCAGCTGCGAAACTTTCTAAGCATATGTACGTGTACAAATTTACAACTTAATCTTAAGTTTATATTTAGCCAAAAAAGTTTAAAACTAAAAGTTTTAGAGCTTTATACCCCCGCAGCATACCAGCTGTATCTTTTACAGAATTTCTGTAGATAAAACGGTTGTCTCGAAGAGAAAGCTTTTAACGATAAGACCACCCATTTTACAATAATACCTCCTTGTTGTTTTCGAATTTTAATAATGTTTTGGTATGAAATAAAATATATTCTCTCTCTCCCTTTCTCTATTCATAAGTGGTTATAGTCATGGCCAGAGGTTTTTTATTTTCTATCAATTCTGAAAAGGCTTTTTTATGCTTCCTCTAATGTATAATTTATATGACTATGAATAAAAATCCACTCAATTATTCCACAGATCAGCTGAATATTTGTCAGATAATAACATTAATTCTTAATGAGATTTTATTACATCATTTAATAGGTAATTCATTCAAATCGCGCAACACACTCCTTCACTATTGAATGGACAATAAAAAAAGCTTTTGTGAATTATTCTCCATTTTATTATATAAAAGAGGTGATTGATTCTGAATTTTTTCTTCTATGAGAAGTGCTCTCTGTAACAAGACAAGATTTCGGTTAGTCCATGATGATGAGGATTCAGGAATATTGTAACTGTAATGGAAACTAAAGATCATGTAAAGGTATTTAAGCTACACATCTATGTGTGTGGGAGAATCATGAGAATATTATTGACATCTATGTACATTAGCAGTTTTACTGAGAATAAAAAGAAATAGGAAAATATGCAGATAATGAACAACGTGAATTAGCATAAACTAAACGTCGAGGACATCACCAGTAATGATAAGTCGCAACTTTTTCATACAAAGTTTAGCTACAACGAAAGAATGGTTTCCTGATTTAGAACTACAGTGTTTTTAGACTGATGATCGTCCATTTTATTGCAATGCACCTAGAACACGATTATCACTTCTAGATTTTTTTTTATTGTTAAGATGTGTGGACGAGCTCAAAGCCCACCTGGTGTTAAGTGGTTACTGGAGCCCATAGACATCTACAACGTAAATATGCCACACACCTTGAGATATAAGTTCTAAGGTCTCGAGTATAGTTACAACGGCTGCCCTACCCTTCAAACCGAAACGCATTACTGCTTCTCGGCAGAAATAGGTGGGCGGTGGTACCTACCCGTGCGGACTCACTAGAGGTCCTACCACCAGTAATTACGCAAATTATAATTTTGTGGGTTTGGTTTTTATTACACCATGTTATTCCTTCACCGTGGAAGTCAATCGTGAACGTTTGTTGAGTACGTATTTCATTAGAAAAATTGGTACCCGCTTGTGGGATTCGAACACCGTTGCATCGCTAGGTACGAATGCACCGAACGTCTTATCCTTTAGGCCACGACGACTTCCCAATATCCTAGATAGCCAGTTCATTTCTTTTTGAAATAAAAATGCAGCTATGTATAAGAACTGACGGACATTGGAGCCGACGGGGTCTTAAGTGGAGACTGGCCACCAGCAAATGTAACGTGGGATGGTCTCGGCTACGTGGTGGAAAACTTTGGAAGGGCGGCCTCGAGAAATGGATGAGGAGTGCCGAAGACCGGCCTCAGTGGTGTGGGTTGGGAGAGGTCTATGTCCAGCTGTGGACGACTGTGGGCTGATGATGATGATGATAGATTACATATCTAATAGGATTGGTATTTAGAATCACAGCAGAGGCTTAATATGTAGCTTAGTAGAGCTGAGCACGTAATATCCATAAGTTTTATAACCACACTTCGGTCGTTCTCTTGATTCTAGAATCTTCTTAAATTTTGACCGAAAGATGCCAATAAACAAAAACTTCTTTGAGCAAAAAATCCGCGATATTCATCTAAGATCGAGATAAAGCTGAAACAATAGTGTTCGTGCGTTTCCTGCCTTCCACACAATTCGAATTACGTACATATTAAAAATGCAATTAAAGTTTTTTTTTTCTTAACAATTTAAGATACTTCCCTTCTGTCAAGGATGATGGTAGATGTTAATAGTTTTAGCTTTAATGCATGCACACCTTCAGGCATTCACGTTGCAAAGTTTATAGATTCTAGCATACCATTAAC